TCTCTTAGTGATCACAAGTCCAAATATGAGACTTATCAAAGTCGATTATTGCAAATGTGAGGGCCCGAAACTCGAAGACTTCACCTTCCGTATGAATGACCTGCCTCGTTATGTGATTTTTTCCCATCGATGTAAGTTATCAGCAAACTCTCACATTGCCCCATGGAATAAGAAAGGAATCATTCATAGGCTCTCTTTCGTACCTCTGTCCTTCAGCCACTTAAATTTGCGCTCACATACCGTGAGACAGGGCTTTCACAAAATGAACATGGAGGAGATGTTACGTTCAAAGAATTCAACGATTCGGAGGATCAAATCAGACAAGCAGCTGCAATCAGAAATCCTGAGAAACGAAAAGCCGAAATAGAGAGGCTCGGCCTACGAACACCTGCATTTGATAAACTTCTTCGAGCGGTTGAAGTAGCCCGTGGGCTCTGGGCGAGCCACATCTGGATTGACAGCTGTTGTATCAATCGTGATAACAGTAGCGAGCTGACTGAGGCATTGAACTCAATGTACCGATACTATAAAGAAGCCGATACATGCTTGGTTTATCTGCACGATTTTGGGGGGTCCTCGGAGCCATATGAATTCTCCAACCAGCAATGGTTCAAGAGAGGCTGGACGCTTCAAGAGCTCATTGCGCCTAAGCGAGTCAATTTTTACAACCAAAATTGGGAATTTATCGGTACACGTTCTGAGACCGCTATCGCTGAAGCTATATCCAAGGTCACCAAAATACCAAAGGAGGCTCTCGATGGAAGAATTCCACCTTATGAGTATTCAGTGGCACAACGAATGTCGTGGGCCGCCAACCGAGATACCACACGCGGCGAAGATATGGCTTACAGTCTTTTTGGACTTTTCGATGTCAATCTTACGCCCATATATGGGGAAGGTGCTCAGAAAGCTTTCCTTCGGCTCCAGGAAGCGATTCTGAGCAGCACGAACGACATGTCGCTTTTCGCCTGGACATCGAACGAGACCAATGAAGAGTATCGTGGTATTCTTGCCCGCTCGCCGAAAGAATTTAGAGAAGCTGGGAACCTGGTTCACCGAAAATTTCTGGGCCCAAATCCCGAGTTCTCCATGACGAACAGAGGTCTCAAGATCATGCCTTTGCTTTCCAAGCGGCGAGATGATACCTATTTTATGCCACTGAACTGTGCCGAAAAGCGAAGCGACTCCGCGCAGTCCCTGGGTATCATCCTCGCGAAACGAAGCCCTAGTGATGAGCGATTATATAGATACAAGCCAGCAAAGCTTGCACCTTTCGACAATACTTTCGTCAACAAAGATTACAGGTTTTGGCTTAGACAAAGCGAAACACCAATATATATTGTTCGAAATGAAAGAGTTGTTCGACGCGAGAGAACCGTTTCGAACGAGAAAGTTGTTCCAACAAACGAGAGACTTGTTCCAAGCGAGAAAGCTGTTCGAAACGAAAGAATTGTTTTAAAGGCGAGAACTACCCAAGACGAGAGAATTGTCCAACGTAAGAGAACCGGTCGAAGGGAGAGAACGGCTTCAAACGAGGAAGTTGCTCAAAACGAGGCATGGGAAAGTGCGCTGATTACAGAGGTGTCATCATGGCTGGAAAAACCTTTGTCGGGGGACACTGCAATGGAGCTATCGAAGGCCGGGCCGCGCGATCCCGAACGATAACGCAGATGAACCTGGGCAAGCTGATCTAGCCCTCCATCCGCAGCAGCGTAAACGTTGTAATTACAATACCGAAATAAAGTGTAAGCTCCTTGTGTAGAGGCTCCGGAAAGCCAAAGATAGAGCTAAGAGGGCAATTTGAGAATTGGCTCTTGGGGGAAACATCTCGAACATGGTGATTGAAAGTATTTTAACTCCATTTTTGACAAACAATTGCTAGGTGAACAGTTGTGCGTACAAAACGTTCATTGACGCCATGCTGATTATAGCATTCGTCATGATGGGGAATATAATGGTAATGCCGACAATCACAGCAAAGTCAAATGGCTGAAAGAAGCCAGGTCCAAAGTCGAATTAAAAGACACAGATTTTGCAGTCAGAAACTTGAAATCCAAGCATGGACACGTCGACAAGCAGTAACTTCACCACTCCGATTAATTCGAGAAACAATCTATATACTATCATTCACCATGAGAAAACAACAATTGAAGCGGATCAATGCCACTTTTGTAATGAGTATAACTATTTGTAAAAAAATCTATTCCAGTTGAAATAGTGACTACTGCAATGTCATGAGCCCAGGCACTGATAAGGGCACCATTATGCTTACAGAAATTTCATTGGATCTCTCTATGCCACAACCACCACACCCTCATTGTAGCCAATCACTGTAGCCAGAAAAGTCAAAGCAGATACATACCATCGTTACGAATTTTTAAAAAAGCAAATTAAGACATTGACCTCGTGATGTCGTAAACCGGGCACAACAAGGATGCACTAGCAAGCAGTGCCAGTATCACTCCAATTGATCTGGGGGACCTGTATATCCCATCACTTACAAATCACAGTAATTGGAAAAAAGAAAAACACCGAAACACCCGAGTAGACGATTCCAATAGTCAGATGATGAAACGACGGATTAAAAATATTTACTAGTTAATTTCATGATCTCATAAGCCCGAGCACTTCGCGCCAGATCCGTTTGGAAAAGCCCCGTCCATCCGTCGTCCATGTCTTGCATGCTTATCGATGCCAAGGCCCCGATGCCACAACCCACCCATGCATGACGGCATGTCATATCCGTACATACATGCACATATGCTTACCAATGGTTCCGAAGGAAAGAAAAAAAAGAAAGGAAAAAGACTCATGTACAAGCATGCCAGGACTAAGCCCTAGTGGAGCCACGTCGAGGACCCAAGACGTCCTCTAGGAGATCGTTCCAAATCTGCTTGACCATGCCCTCGCCCTCGCCCTCTTGTCTGGCGCTCGAAAAGCTGTTGCTGTTGCTGCTGTTGGATGCAGTCTGGTACCCGAACTGATTGTTGTCCGAGGTATCCGACAGCACGGCGGGGGAATGGATATGCGTGGTTTCGGCAGCAACCGTGTAGATGGTAGGCATCATGGGCACCTGTTTTCAAAGGCAAACACACAGACGTAAGCAGCTGGCCTCGGGGGGTTGTGATTGTGCTTTTAGTAGCGGGACCCAATGGGACGTACCACACCCTCTCCCTCAGCAGCATGGCCCTGGACATCGGCCCACGGCAGAATAGGGACGCGGATGCCGAGGGGCGCACTCCTCGTCTCCGGGTCGAAGTCGGGGATGTAGGCAAAGTCCAGGGTGCTGCTGTCGCCGACAGACTTGTGGCTGCGAGAGGTATTGAAGCGGCGGATCTTGTTGTTGATGCCCGTTGTCTCGGTGGAGTCGGAGACGGGGTTGGAGAACTCGCCGGAGAGGCGGATGGGGCCTCGCGGGCGGTTGGAGACGTAAGGCTTGTCGGTGGTGAGGAGGGAAGAGGAAGAGGTCGCGCCGGTCATGGACAGATGGCGGACAGTGAGGCGGGGACCGAGAAGGCGGGGACCCGTGGCGAGAGCGCAGAGAGCGCGGGTAGTGGTTTTTGAAGCCATTTTGAGAGGGGTGATGTGATGTGATGTGATGTGATGTGTGATTTAGGATGAGAGGAAAGAGAGGTGCACCGCAGATGGGGGGCGAGGCAACAAGGTATATGTAATGGCACTTGCCAGAGGGGAAGCAGGTGGCTTAATAACGCAGGTGTCGCAAGCCAAAGTCGGGATCGGGAAATAACAAAAGCCAGCAAGTCTCGGAGTATGCCGGAGAATGCAGGTGTGTGTTGTTATCGGGCTGATGTGATAAACAGGTGTTTGTTGAGGAGCAGCGGAAACGATGGATGGATGGGATGACAGCTGAGCAGACTCGCGATGGTGTGAGGGGAAAGCAGTCCCTTTAACCCGCTCAGCCTCAGGTCAAGTCGTGCTAACAGCCTCAAACTGTCAGATTGTCTTGGCCCCAGGGCATCTGGGTCGCCCTGCACAGAGCGGTCAGTGTGCTGTACGACGACTCAGTCGACCCCTCAGTTGTTCACTTCATAACGACTGGATAGCTCGGGGATGCATCAGCGGACTCCGACGCGCGCCTTGTATGGAAGGATGGAGCTTGGGACGTAGACTAGCCCTGATGCGGCTTAGTACACTTCCCAGGCCAATGGACGAGCCCCACTATAGTATGCCCAGCACCTCTCCCCGCACTTTTGGTCGCAGCAACCGCGGGCCTTGAACGAACCATCTCAGGTCACAAACACGCCGTCCGGCTTCAGATAAGCAATCGCCCGTGGCAAACCGTTCGCAGCGTCAAGAACTACAAACTGCTTTTGCAAACCCCCCATCCAGTCGCGAGACCGTGGTGCTAAAATGTCGGTGTGGACACGAGGGGACCTGGTTCAACGCACACTTGGACAGGGGGGATCGCCATAGGCCTAGCGATGTCGGCTCCTTCCCGCAACCATGCACAGTCACTCGTTGCGACGTTATGCCTATACCATCGGCTCTCCTCCACCCAGTCAAAACACACGCCCTGCTGCCACTCTCTCTCGCCCGCACGAATGAGGCGACCGCTCCCCCCTCCCGTCAAGACGTCAGATGCAAAAAACGGCCCTTGTTCCGCCGCCTCCCACTCGCCTCGTCATGACGGCACCATGATGGTAACGTGCATTGCTGCAACCACCTGTCGACGACGATGCAACTGCAGCCCATCGAGCCACGCCGCGTGTTTGGACAAGCCCAACAACGTTGCACAGACAAACGGACCCCCATTTTCCTGTCGACCAACAACAATACATGCGCTTCGACATGCTCGCAAATCGCAAGGTCTGCCCAAACGAGTAAAGTGAGGCTGGGGCCCGTCCCCAACGACTTGAACGTGCCCCACCAGTGCCTGGCGAGTACTTGGCCGGACGGGAGGTTCCGCTTGACGTGCATACAGCTCAATTATGTCGAGTACTTGTACGTTGTAATTCAAAATTTCTTCGTCAAATCAGATCGGCCTGATGGTCTAGTGGTATGATTGTCGCTTCGGGTTCTACACCTGGATACAGTGTATCTGTTCTGTGACAGGCCCCGGGTTCGAATCCCGGTCAGGCCCTGGAATCTTTTTGCTGGGAGATTGCGGTCTTTTTGCTGTAGAGGAATCGAGAAAGTGGTGCTATAGGCATCTTTTTGCCTTTGTTCTCTTTTTTGGTGAGTCAGCCATCTCTTTGCTTTGGAGTAATGAAGGAAATGGCGCCGGAGGCATCCTTTTACTTTTATGCTCTTTTTGCTGAGATGGCGGTCTTTTTGCTCTTATTCTCTTTTCACTTGGACTTCTAGTAGCTATTCTTTTTACTGTTCTTCTTTTTGTAAGGAACAGCTATCTTTCACTCATATTCTCTACTTTTGGTCAGCCTCCTGTCATCCTTTTGCTCTTGTCCTCTTCTTGCTGAGTATTAGCGGTCGTTCTGCTCTTGTTCTCTTTTTTACTTGAACAGTAAAAAGAATAGCTACTAGAAGTCCTTCTTTTTGTAAGGAACAGCCATCTTTCACTCTATTCTCTACTTTTGGTTAGCCTCCTATCATCTTTCTGAGCAATGGCGGTCTTTTTGTTCTGAGCAATCGAGGAAGCAGGGCCGTGGGCATGTGGTCGTCTTTTCTTGCACATCTCGAGCATGTTATTCCATGTGCTGTATTGCATTCACATCACACAGCTCACACTCCGCTGTTCAATAAGATTCAAGCACAAATGCATTCGTGGTATCTGTATATCAACCAAGCAAACAACACCCACGCACCGCCCTGCCCCAGTCAAACTCCTTTGTGTTGTTCAATCCCACGCCCAAGCCCAAGGGGGGTATAAAAAGGACCCTGCTTTCGCGCACCGAAGCAATGAAAGTGGTATATAAACGAAAGAAAACATGCAAAAGCAATATAAAAGGGGGCAACGAAGCGAAAAAAGATCAAGGCCGTGAATACGTGAAGAGAGCTCGTACAAGTCGGCCCTCAAAGACGGAGAAGCGAAAGGGGTAAAAATGTTCAAGGTCATCATCGGCCGTCGTACGAGTCGCTGACCCATCCGTTGTTGTTGCCTGCGTACATGGGCTGCTGGTTGCTCTGTTGAAAGTCGTTTTCCTCTTCAAAGTACTCGCCTCCACTCGACGCGTCGAAGCTGCTACGCCCACTAATGTCTCCGTCTTCGTCAGGTGGGCCCGCGGGAAGCTGGTCCCACTGAATACCTGCGAGCGCAGGGTACTGTGCCAGAATGGCGGCCGGCAGGAATGGCTGTGGTGCTTGCATGCCGCCAGCCTGAGGGAACGGCTCGAAGCCAGACTGGCCGGGCATCATGCTGTTAAAGTTCTGTGCGGGCATTGGTGCAAACATGCCGTTCCCACTGTTCATCTGCTGGTTCTGGCCGTTCCATTCACCCTTCTCCCGCGCCTCTTCTTCCAGCAAGGGTCGGATACATACACGACCTGCCTCGGATCGGAAGTGGCGACCCAGTGCGTCGGCACGGGCAAAGCGTCTGCCGCAACCCCAGCTGTTGCCGTCCTTGAGATTACCGCGGCAGACAAACTTCTTCTCTCCAGAGTGCAAGCCCTCGTGTCGCTTTCGGTCGTGCTGGCGCGCAAACGCTTTGCCGCAAACACTGCAAACAAAAGGACGCTCGTCCGTGTGCGTGCGCAGATGCGATCGAAGATTGTACGCTCGTGTGAAGCGCTTTGGACAGAGGTTGCACTGAAAGGTCGCTGGGTGCTTTTGCGTGCGCTTCGGGTTTGAGCCATCAGCAGGCGCAGGCCTCGTTGGGTCTGCAAGATCCAAGATGTAGTCGCGGTTGGGCACGCTTGATGTAGACGAGCGGCGCGATGATTTTCCAGACGGAGAAGGAGAGCGAGATTTCGCTGCATTTGGAGACAAGGATCGGTGCACTCCAGAGCCAGGCGTAGAAGCGCGCGAGCTGGCACTGCTGAAAGGATCAGATTTGGCACGAGACCTGTTCCTGCTGCGTGCTGCTTTTGTGTCAGCATAGATAGTTCAATTCATGCAACCAAGCTGCTTACATCTGTCGGGAGGACTTAATGCGTCCAGCTGCGGTTCAGCCTTGGGCGGCTCGAAGCTGGCTTGTCGCGAGGGAGGCGCGAAGTCAATGTTGATTTCTGGGGGTGACATGGCATCCGCTTGACCAAACTCCGGCATGGGCTGGTTCAGTGAAGGGAATGGCTCCGAGTTCTGGCCAGCAAAGCCATTTACACCTTGGCCGTACGGGTTCATGCCTCGACTTAGGCCAAATGTCTCGGGCTGGAACTGCGGTAGTGCCTGCTGGTTTTGTGGCATCAGACGGGGCGAGATGTGCGGGCTGTTTGAAGCGCTGATGTGCGCATTGCTGTTGTTCAGGTTGAAGCGGTCGAATCCAGGAACAGGGTCCTGGAATAGCTGCGGGTCGTGTTGGGCGTGGAGAAGAGGCGACGGCTGGTCATTGTCGAAGCTGTCGTGCTGGTGCAGGTACGGAGAGTTGTGCGCCGAGGATGCGACGTCCGAGTAGCCAGCGTCGCTGCCTCCTCTAGACCTAGGGCCCCTGAAGCTTGCGCCTGCCATAGGTCCCCATTCTGAAGTCTGACCGTAAGCGGCGCTTGGATCTAGCGATGTGTGTCGCGAATGGCCTGGCGATCGGAACGGGCCGTGAGCCATGTTGGGTGAAGCATGGGGGCTTGGACCTTGGGGGTTGTTCATATTGGGCAGCAGATGAGGCGGCGTGGGGGCGTTGTGTGGTGCGGCTGCCATCTGCTGCATGAGATCCGAAGGGTTGACCGACTGGTTCTGCTGCGGCTGCGTGTCGAGTATGTGTGGATCCAGCGTCTGCCCCAGGTACGAGTTCTGGCCAAGGTCGTTGGCCTGGAAGAAGTTGAAGTCGGAGTTGTTTGCGGCGGACAGGTCGAGGGGGTCAGGCGAGATGTTGTTGCTGCCTTGGGGGCCAAATTGCGGTGTGTTGCTCTGCGAGAGGCTCTGCGAGAGGCTCTGCGAGGCCTGCAGGAAGCTTGCGTCGGAAAAACTAGGCTGCTGCGAGAAGGGCTGGCCTTGGGTGGTGGTGAGGAACTGGGCGCTGTTCAACCCCGCGCTGGTGACGGCGTACGAGGAAGGGTCCTGGATGGCGTCGAAGCCCAAAGCGCCCGAGTGCTGATGCTGGAAGGGCGCCGGTGGGCCGGGCGAGGGAGAGTGGTCTTTATGAGCATGCTGTCCAGCCGAAGGGGAGCGCCCCCGTTGCTGAATGTCCATGATGTACGGCTTCGCGTGTTCCTAACAATAGGTGGGATGTGGAGGAGGGTGCCCTGGAAGCCGCGCTTGGGCCCGCGTGGAGAGGTTGGAAGACACCAGGGAACAGGCACGAACGCTGAATGGCCGGAGAGCTGCCAGGAACGCGCAATGTACTCTCTTGACTGGCTTGACTGCTGGGGCTGGTGAGTGTGAAGGAGGCGCAGTGTTGTCGTCGGTCGCAGGACACAGCCCACCTCACGATGAGCAGTGGCTCAAAGTAGTCTAGCTCGCTATTATTAGCCCCGCGATGGAAATCCTACAGCAAGAGTTCCTTTGCAAATTCCTGTGTTTCAGTCACAGAGGACTTGAAACGTCGAGCCAGGCCAGCGGTTATGCGTTGTTCTCCAAGACGGCGGGTGGGGGTTGGAGAAGGTGATTACCCTTTGTCCGGGCGCGATTCGAGCCACTCAAGAGCGCATCCAGTACCAAGACAAGGCGCGCCGGCAGCAGACGAGCGTTATCGCGCAACAACGACCGCTTTGAGCTGACAACTTGTGATTTTGGGGAGATTTACTGTGCGCTTCAACACAGCCCCGGCCGCATACAGGTAATTAGGCTGCTGGTCTGAAAGAACAAGCGTGCATTTCGGCGGGCAATTGACTTGGCGCACAGTCTAACCAGCTAACAGCTGGAATAAGCCGTCGCTGTCAGCTGGGCAAGTGGCACCAAACCGTCCCAAAAGATTTGGCATCAGCTCGCCGGCGGCCAAGATGCACGTGTCAAAACGCCTGATTAAACTTCACGGCCCTGTTGATTACACTGAGTCCTGAGTGCACTGCCTCGCTTGCACACAAGTCGCAAGGCACACTCGCTCAAGGCTGATTACCACGTCCCCACAATGCACCACGCCCTTATTCCGCTTTGGGCAGTTTCTGTGCGACATCTTTGCTTGTGTAGTGATAATTATAGCATCCTCTGTCCTCGGGCATTTACTTCAGGGAACAACGCGTATGCACACGTAATGATGTCGTCCATATGCTGCATCTACTACACAACTACACCCTCAAGACGCGACGCTCGTCGGGTCGGTCGAGCCTTGGTATACCTGGTGCGTGCCCAATCCACTGTGTTGGCCTTGAATTGTGCCGCTGGTGGCCTAGTTCCGGCACCTTTTATGTCATGGGAAAAGCCAACCACGCTGGGCTCCGTGCAAAGTCTTCCTGTATCATGGGTATCCTATGTAATGGCCTGCAAGAAATAAAACTGGCTCTGATGAAACTCTTGGTATACCTAATATCAAGTTATCCAAATTTCAGTCCCTGTGCAGGATTCCATCTCCCATCCTGTGGCGGACCACCCGAGGGCCGTGGATTGCCAGATGCTGTAGGGGGACCACCGAATCGGATCCCTACTTCTGGTGTCCACATGCCCGCAGATGGCGGCATGCTTGCCCTTGTGGGTGTTGGAGCAGTCAATGGCTCTTCAGCATGTGCACTTGCGCCATAATTTGGATCCTGTGCGTCGGCTTGCTTCTGCTGCTTGAGCGAATTCGACGCTGCTTGCTGAAGGCCGAGAGAGCTCATCCGGGTAGTGAGGTCGCTGTCGATGGTTAGCATCTGCGGCGGATAATCTTCGACAACAATACCTACCTTTCTAGATGAGATGCTTCCGACTTGCGGTTGTATGCAAAAGTACGTGCATCATCCCGGAAGCGATTCACAATCTTGGCCAAATCATTGTAAAACTTCCGACCAACGTCGAGATTGGAGATGATCTCTTTATACTTGAAGTATGCATTCTCCAAGTTTTGCAAGGCCTGCTCGCGCTTCTTGGTCGACTGGTCTCCGCGACGAGCAATCAAAA